GCTGATTAGTAGATAATATGGTTTTATCTGGGTCCATGTATGTGACACATTTTCAGCTTTGTTATTTTTTCACAGTCACCATCTTGGATTTTAGGTACTTTTAAAATTGTTAGTAAATTTAATACTGAAAAATATATACCGTGTGTTTAGTTTGCCAAGCTGATATGAATAGGCACACCATGCACGTTTTTATCTTAGTTGGTTCAATATTTATGACATATTTTCATCTTTGTTATTTCTTATGGCGGCCATCTTGGATTTTACCTAGATTTTGGTACATTTGGTGTCCATTTTGTTAGTAAATTTAAAATTGAAAATACATACTATTGTGTTTGTCTTGTCAATCTGATATGATAAGGAACATCACACATGTTTTTATCTCAGCTAGTTTATTATTTATGACCTATTTTCAACTTTTATTTTCTTAATAGTGGCCATTTTGGAATTGACCTATTTTCAGGTGGTTCCCCAAGTCCGATTTTGGTAAACTATTTTTGTCTTTAAAGTAGAGGTACTGAAGAGTTGAAACCCGCTAAGAAACCTTTTCCAACAATTTTGTTGAATCTCCATGATTAAAAAATGTTTAATGACTGGACTATAAGCCCCTGATTCAATCCATCCACTCATAAAATGCATTGGCAACACGTTGTATTCCTCACCTCGACCAGATTTCAATTTATAATCTACAATACTTGGACATGGATCAGGAAAACACTATTTAGTGTAGTAAGTTTTGGCAGATTTCGGCGACTCGCACAAATTCACTCATGGTCAAAAAATGCTCAATTCAACACGTGTAGGTATCAACAATGCACCAAGTAAATCTGTATTCTCCACAAATAAACACAATTTAAATACATCAAATGTTGACCACTTTTAACCAACCCACTTTTATAAAGCTCTGAAAATAACGATCAATAACAGTTCAGTCCTTTGTCATGTGTGCGCAAACGGCAAGGTGCTCAATAAGCACATAGTTCCCAGTACCAGGCTAGTCAACATCAAAATCGGCGAATTCCATTTTTAAATTAAGTCCCGGCGATTTCTCAGCGTCTCATTGACGCCCTCCAAAACTTGTATTTGATGTATGATGTGTCGTATATCTGCTGTCATTGGCCACTGAAAAGGCTTATACAATTTTAACATTTCTTTTCTGAAGTTGCTGGTGGTATTAAACACGATAGTCATACAAAGACACCAACACAGTAGCCATGGCAAGTATGTTTGCCTGACAGATTTCAAGTTCAGCTCTTCTATGTGATAGACCTGGTAAATTATTAACTTGCATTTATAACAAAGCTTTAATTATTTAATAATCATGGTTGAGAATTGCCTTTTATTCTAATTTCATTCCAACACAGGCCCATAACAGATCTGCTGTGCGATTCTCCAATTGTTGAATCAACAAAGCAGCTAAACTAACTTACTTACTTTCGATAATCTGCTTTCTGATGGAGTGAAAGGAGTAAAATTATTGGCAAATAGTAGAAGGTTACGCAAAATACCAGTTGGACCTGCTGCCAAGCCTACGTTCGGACCTGCTACATAAGTTCCATGAGCTTAAATATGCTCGACAGTGGTTGTCCATTAGTTTGACTGAGATTTTGTACAATTTAGATCTTGTACGGTGGCATTATAATTGTGACTGTCCTTGGTGAGCGTTGTTTATCGAAAGTTACAGCCACTGGAATTAATCAGATGACCCACCCACAAAGTGTGTGCCAATAAATATTTTCCACACTTTTATTTGAAGAATGGTGACAGAAACCACAACGACGTCAAAATGTATTTTCCCTTCGAACTTCACACGACCAAATACACAAAAAGTGTTATTTGTTGATAGTTGTCAGTGGAGGTTTGTTAGTATTATTGGAAAAAGGAACAATTATATTAATACACAATGTTAAGAATTTGATAGCAATAACTCTATTTGTCGAGCAGGCAATTTACTCTGCATGTATTATTGTGACGTATTTCTATGTAATATCTTTTGTGTATTTCATAGTTCTAGGATTGTGCTAATTAGTTTTGTATTTTCAAGAATGCAACGCATCCATTATTAAGCTGGGGAGACACCCCATACCGTCAGATTAGAATTTATGGTTTTATGGTAGGTAATTCATTATTATACTTTTAGTTGTCGACAGGTGTGGCAAAGTTCTGATGTGGTGTGTATGACAATTGGGTGCCAATTCACCGAATGTGTTAACACTGTGTTACGTCTAGTCGTATGTTACCAATGCTGAATATTAGTTATGCCATTCTTTGCTGAGTTCAGCATATATTTCAAGAACGTCTTCACCGACTGACTACTTCAACCCAACAACTAAAGAACCACAGGATGCGTAAACATCGCCGACTGTTTCCTTCAATCATATGGCTAGAGAACTGCAAAATGTGATAACGTCATCGTCTCAAATACGTGATTCAACGTCGTCGTCCCAGCGTTATTGTACAATGCTATGTTAGCTTGGTTAAAGTTATTTCTTGTGGAACTGACCTTATCAGAAACTGAACTAAAAAGTGTTGGCATACGTATTTGTATTAGTAATAGTACTACTATTGATCGAGTTAGCATATTGGGACACAATCGAGTGTAATTTATAATTAATGCGGTTTATTGGTGTTTCTAACGCCACTGTTAAAAAAACGAATTGAAGTTTGTTGTTGTTAAAACCTGCCGTAGCCTGGCGTGAAGATAATATATTTATGAAATGTTCTTGGTCTTAGTTTGTAACGAAGTGAATAAGGTGGCATTACCGTGATATATACCTTGTGACAATTAACTTAAATCTATGAAAAAAATGATATATGCGCAAACGGCACCTCATAGCCTAGAAGGGATTTTCCCTTTCAAAATGTGCATTGTTAACGAAAGCTAGCATACAGCATATGTAGTAACAAATATTCTAAGTTGTATTCATCAGTGTGTGTAGTATTGTTGAAACTCATTTTCCTCCCTTTGTTCTTCAAACAAACTGACGTGAGAACGCCGCGTCACTTTAGTGAGGAAGACATGAAACAGATGTACCATTCCATTTAATGATATTGTTTACTCCAATTGACCTGACAAATTAAATCTCTAAATTCCATGTCTTGTCTTGACTGAAAACTGGGGTGATAGTTTTTGTGTGCCAAACCAGTACCTGAAAATAGAAAAAAAAGCAATTATCACATTGAATGTATATGCGATGTAACATCTAATTAACATATTGATTTACATGTAGTTCCCAGAAACAGAAAAGTTGGTATAAAGAAACGACAAAATTTCGTTAGATTCGAAAACAAGTGGCAGACTAGCGATATGTTGCAGTGTCAAACAACGTTGAATTGTAACATTTTAACTCGTTCCCAGCCGTTTCTCATACATGGCTTGACAGATTTTCTTGAAAGATTACGGCCATTTTAAAAGAATTGTGTGAAAGTATGGATTAACATTTCACATTTCAATAATGGATCTAAATCTCGCTCAATGCTTAACCCAGTTATACATACTAACACATGCACATACATACTCTTTTTATTCAGGGTTGATATTCAAAGTAAACATCTGATGAACCCCTGGAAATGATGACCACGTCTACACGCAATATTAAACAAATGACCAGAATGCTCGTTATAACCACGGAAAATGTATTGTGGGCAGTAGGAGCAAGCTCTGATGCACCGACTTGGGCATAGAAGCCATTTGATCATGTCCAACAAAACGACGTCAGATGAGGCGTTTTTGGAGTTTCCACATCTGTTCCAAATCACCTGATACTTCCCATTTCAACAATTTGTTTACAGTTGTTTACGTTGCATATATAACGTATATTAGCTATAATATTAGCGAAAATTACAATCCTAGTAAAACAATGAAGTCGCTGAATGTATACCCGCACTCTTAATCACTTGGCTGGTGTACGAAATAATTTACTTCACGGTATTTATTGACCATAATTACTTGCATTTGATGAAGGGTATGGAAATAAAATTATACACGTACATATCAACATGGAACACGAGATTCGTATACAGACGTGCTACCTATTATGACATTAACACTATTTAATCAAATATAAAAATTTCTTGGTACCTGGTGCAGTTGTCAGCCTTTGGTTCCAAATCATTCAGTTCTACCAACTGTGAAAGCAGAGACGATTCTAAAAATCCAGCTGGCATTGTGTGACTAAACCACACATGTGGGTTATTCAGCAATAGGTTCAGATTAATAGCAAACCCCGCCATGTCAGTAGCAAATTTCCTTTCAGAGGAGTTCCATGCATGCCAAGACTTCACCTTGTTATCAGGACCAATTATAGGAGTTTCATAGCGTAACCCACCGGAAAGGCCGACTGGCCATATTGATACTTTTTTAGTATATCTCATCTGAAAGTAATATTGAAATATGATGCCAATGAAAATATCCTGTATATGAAAGAGTTTAACATGTGCCTTAGATTACTACATGTTGCCCCTCACAAGTATCTGAAAACCACAAAACTTACATTTAGGTGCAACAAAAGTACTGATCACTTAAGCCATAATAAATTATGAAAGTATATTGACAAGAAGTGGCGAAAAGTCAAGATGGGTTGCCCCAAGATCAACCAATGAAGGTATAGGAGAGAAAGTTAATTTGAGTTGCACTGTCGCTCCTACTTAAGTGAGTCTTTTGTGCGTTAACTGGTTAGGTTTTTGCGTTGCTTGTGCCGTAATTCCTCCATTTCATCAGGCCCGCAATTGTGTGTAACCAAGTTGGCCGCCGTTGTATGTGTGCCGCGTAATAATCCCTTTGCAGGATTTACGAAAAAAACATGGGCTTTGGTGTGAGTCAATACTTTATGTTGATATTGAAGCTTGCATGAAATAATCATATAGCTGATTCGGTCGGTGCCATACATTTTTGTAGCCGCCTCCCGTGTCTTTGGGTGCGTTCTTGTGTTTTAATAGTTCTGGTGATCATGAGTTCTGAAGAGCTATGTAAGATATGATTGAACTCCATTGGCGACTCTTTTTAAGTCAGGCATTAGTTACATACGCCACAAAAGTGGTTCTATCAGGTGCCCCCATTCATTTCAAATAGTGTTATTGAGAATGAGCTGAAACGTTATGGTCGTGTAATAAGACTAATATCACTTGAATATAACAACACCAATTTTCGCCAAATAATTTTTCAAACAAATGTATATGCATTGTGATAAAATGTGATGCACGTCAGTATGAAATATAATTATCAACACACGAAATAACATTTGACAAGTGCCACAATAAAGGGATATACAAACAATATGACACAGAAAACAAATGTAAAGACTGATATAAATATTCAAGATACTGTTTACATGGAAACACTTGTAGACGATACACACGTGGCATCACTGTATGAATATGTTAACAACAAATACAACAGGAAAACGAGCGTACCAAACGAGCGTACAAACTACAAAAAACTGAAACCATGCACTAAAACAAAGCTAAAAATGTCAATAATGGAAAAA